CAGTTTGAGGAGTCCAGAGGAACGAGCTGCTGGCAGCACCCTCTCCTTGTCACTGCAGGATTCTCTGCTTTGCAAACTTTGAAATTTGGAATATTTTCTGGTTTTTCAGAGGTGAAATTCCAGCATCTCAAGTTAGAAAAGTTAATGGGGCTTTCCCCAGGAGGTCAGGGTGGCCTCTCGAGGGTCTGAGCGCTGCCATGCAGAGCAGGATAATCTGTTTTATCCCCCTTGGACAATGCTCCTCGTGGTGCCTGTGCCTCCCCATGTCTGTCAGCCAATCACAGAGTGAGCAGAGTTCTGTATCCTGCAGGGAAGGGGAGGGAGCCTGCTCTGGAATGAGGATTTTGGGAACCCAGGGTTCAGGGAATAATTCCCTGTCTGCTCTGAGGGGTTCTGACCCCCACAGAAACACTGCCTTTGACCTTCACCCATGGAGAGGGCTCCCAAGGCTTTGAGATAGATTAAAATTTACCAAAACGTGAAATAGATAATAGAGTAGTGTAGGATGACACTTGGGTGAGACATTTAGGTTTTGGGATTTTTAGTATGGTGTGGATAGGAAACAAGATGGAGGAATTTGGGTGTAGAGTCCCTGTCGTCATCGTCATCTTCTGCTTCTTCTCCTTCTTCTCCTCCTCCTTCTTATTCTTCTCCTTCTTCTCCTCCTCCTTCTTATTCTTCTCCTTTTTATTCTTCTCCTTCTTCTCTTTCTCCTTCTCCTTTTCCTTTTCCTTTTCCTTTTCCTTTTCCTTTTCCTTTTCCTTCTCCTTCTCCTTCTCCTCCTCCATCTCCATTTTCTGCACTGTTGGTGGCACAGGGTGATTGCACAAGGAAAGCACAGTGCAGAGGTTTCATGGACACTCAAGGGATGAGTTAGATGGTAGATAAGTGGAAATCATGTGTATTTTAAGAGTTAATTAGATAAAATAACTTTAAAAGACCTCGAAACTGTACATTTTGGGGCCATTTTGTGGTGCTTTCCTGCGCACTGAGCCTGGTGTGGACAGCATGCAAAACTTTGGATAAGAAAACAATAAACAAGAAGCTGAAGCCTGAATAAATCCCGGGTGTCTCCTTTTTCCTGGCACAGAACTGCTCCAGGAGGGTTCCCCCCATTTGGGGAGCCCCCAGAAGGGCCCAACAAAAAACAAACATTGGCAGAGGCTGGCAGAGCTCAGCACAGCTCTGCTGAACAGATGGAGCCCCTTCTTTTCCATCCCCCAGCCCAGGACAGAGCTCTGCACACACCTGCCACAGCAGGGGAATTTTCGTCAAAAAATCTCAATTTTCATCAAAAAATCTCAATTTTCATCTGCAAAACAGCAGCAGAGACAGCGACTCAGGAGCCTTTGCTTCAGAATTCCCTGTTCCTACTGCCAAGAAACTTCCAGCCCATAAGAAATGAGCCAAAATCTCCTAAAACCTCACCCAAACTTTGTCCTACCTGTTGCTGCCGTGTCTGTCAGCATTTCTGCTTTGTAGGTTTTACAAATTGTATGTGCAGCTCTGTTCTCAGAAATCCCATTTAATTAAAGAGCTGCCAGGTATTTAAATCCAGTGGAAGTTCTGGTTTGCCAGGGAGTTCATTTTATAGGAAACTGCTATGATTGAAGTCAGAAATTCTGCTCAACTGCACTGAGAGAGTCTATCCCAAATTCTGGGCATTTTAGGTTGGCAGAAAATAGAACCCTCTGCAAAAAATTGTCCCTCTCCCAAAATTGAACAATGTTTTTACTCCACTATCTAGAATTTAAAGCTATTTCTTTATTAATATTCAGCCCCAAAAGCCTTAAAAGCAAACTGCACATAAGCTTCACACATTGTAAACGAGTTTTACACCCCCAAAATACTGAGCACAAGCTACTCTGCATTTTATTTCACAAAGAAATCAACCAAAATACGACCTCTCCACACTGCTGAGAGCTGCTCCCATAAAAATCTTGGAATATATTCCAACCTCTTCTTAATGAGCCTCCCAGCAGCAGCACAGGGATTGAACTGGGGAGAGCAGGAGGCAGGATTCACATCCAGGAGCTGGAGCAGAGGGATAAATGGGATTTATCAGCTCCAGGGCAGGACCCAGCAGCCCTGCAGGGAGGTCTCAGGGTGGAATTTTCAGGACAGAATTTTCAGAATGGAATTTTCAGAATGGCAGCTGGAGTTTCAAGACGGAGTTTCCAGGATAACAGGCAGGTTTCAGGATGGAATTTCCAGGATGGAGTTTTCAGAATGGAATTTTCAGGATGGCGGGCAGGTCTCAGGATGGAATTTTCAGGATAACAAGGCAGGTTTCAGGATGGAATTTTCAGGACACAAATAGGTTCAGGATGGAATTTTCAGGATGGAATTTCCTGGATGGAATTTTCAGGATGAAATTTTCAGGATGAAATTTTCAGGATGGAATTTTGAGGATGGAATTTTCAGGATAACAGGCAGATCTCAGGATGGAATTTTCAGGATGGAATTTTCAGGATGGAATTTTCAGGATGGAATTTTCAGGACACAAGCAGGTTCAGGATGGAATTTTCAGGATGGAATTTCCTGGATAGAATTTTCAGGATGAAATTTTCAGGATGGAATTTTGAGGATGGATTTTTCAGGATAACAGGCAGATCTCAGGATGGAATTTTCAGAATGGCAGTCAGGTTTCAGGATGGAATTTTCAGGATGGAATTTTCAGGACACAAGCAGGTTCAGGATGGAATTTCCAGGATGGAATCTTCAGGATGTCAGTCAGGTTTCAGGATGGAATTTTCAGGATGGAATTTTCAGGATGTCAGGCAGGGTTCAGGATGGAATTTTCAGAATGGAATTTTCTGAATGGCAGTCAGCTCTCAGGATGGAATTTCCAGGATGGCATTTTCAGGATAACAGGAAGCTCTCAGGATGGAAATTTCAGGATGGCAGGCAGGTTCAGGATGGAATTTCCAGGGCAGAATTTTCAGAATGGAATTTTCAGGATGGCCGGCAGGTTCAGGATGGCATTTTCAGGATAGCAAGTAGGTCTCAGGGTGGCATTTCCAGGATAACAGGCAGGTCTCAGGATGGCATTTTTGGGATAACAGGCAGTTCTCAGGATGGAATCTGAGCTCCTGGGGACTGCACTCCGGCCAGGAAGGGCTTTCTCCAAGCCCTACGTGGAGCTGTGTGCATGTGTAACAGGTGAAAATCTACAGTCTAATCCCAATCCAGTTAAATTCCTGAAGCCTGGAGGATCGGCAAGGCTGGGCAGGAAGGAGGAGAGCACATTCAAAAAGCAAATAAACTGCAGAGAAGTCAAGTGGCCTCTGCTGTAACACCACCGACATTCCCAGCTGAACATCTCATTGGAGGCACTGAATTTCCTGGTTCCATTCCAGGGCTGGGGACAGCCTGACAAACACATCCCACTGGGAATTCCATTGGTGGCTCTTCCAGCCAGGCTTTGTCTGCTTTGATTGCAGGTTACAGGAGCTGCACCTCTCCCCCAGCATCAGCCCTGAGCACCCACGTAAGAACACAGTGAGAAGTGAAACCAGAGCAAACACCCCCTCAAGTAAATATTTCATCTCTGCCCATGACTAATTAACAGCAATGACTTTTGTTAACAGGGAAGCAGAAGTTACTTAAACCAGGAATTATTCTCAAATCAAAAATACATATTTGCTTTGAGACAGAGAGCAAACAACACTCCAGCAAGCTGTTTGCCATGTAGAAATGTGATTAACAGATCAGAATATTGCATCAGGCCAGGCTTTTCAGTGATTGCAAGATTCAATGTGTAACAAATTGTTCCACTTGCCTCCCTTATCCAGGAGCACTCACTGTACACATTCCACAGGTACCTCTCCCTCCAGTTGTGATAATTGAAATTTCCCTGGGGCAGAGATGTGTAAAAAGGAAAAAAAAAAAAAAATCAGCACAAATAGGAGCTCTCATTGAAAAGTCAAATAAGAGAGGCTAAAACAGTGTCAGCTGCACTCCTTTCACTGCTCACAGCTGCACACAGCATTATTTGCTGACAGGTAATGGACACAATTTAAATCACTCTTCCCCTCGCCTCTTCAGATACAATCAGTTATCATTTCTGGAAGTAATGAATCTGCCAGGATGGAAAATCCCAGATGATCTTGATAGAATCAACTTCTTGACTTTCATTTAACCTGCTCTCATCTTTCAGGAGGCAGAACTTTTGCAAACTTCCATCAGAATAAACTCAGTCCAGTATAACGACAGGGAGCCTCGGCACATCAGAGCAGTGACAAATTCTACCCTGGGCATCCTCCCACGTCCCCAAGGGAGGCACTTCAGTGTCCCAGAGAGCCTTCTGCCCTTTGGCATTCACTGAAATCACAAGGAAATTTCCACAAGAAGGTTTTGCACGGGTGTTTTCCCTCCTTGGGAGGAAATTTTGTTTTCCTGGCCTCCTTCAGGAATTGTTGGCAACATTTATATATCCAAACCTTCCGAGCATTCCTTTCACTGGGCAGTGTCTTAGAGCAGCAGTCTCTGGACAGGCATTAAGTGTTGAAAAGCTACAAAAATTGTTCACAGGTCAGAGCAG